TGGGGGGGGGGGCGTGAGGGGGGCGATGCCTGCCCCTGCCGTCCCTTGGGCACGGGGCAGGACTGCCCTCCCGCACCGCTTGGCGTGCTGCGAGGTGGGGAGGTGCGGGTGGGCAGCCGCGATGGGGCGTAAGGTGGCAGAGCAGACAAGCAGCTTGCTGTCCTGTTCCACGCTGCTTCCCCTCCACCTTTCCTACAGTCCTCTTTTCTCCTCCCTTCTCGGCGTATGCCCGCACATACCATACCTTTTGCACGCAGTTCCTTCCCCAAACTTTACAGTGGCTCCGTCTCGCCCTTCGCCTGCCAGCCTGCTCCGTCCTTGCCCGCCCGCCGCGACGCCCTGCCGGTGAAGAAGGCCACCTCTGTGCTCCCGTCAGTGCGGCTCTTGTGCCTCTCGCGCCGCTGCTGTGCGCTGGAAAGGACTTCAGGAGCTGCCGCGCCGCGGCCAGCTGACGTTCGAACTCCTTGGCGCTCGTCGTCGGTCCCCGTTTGCTCAGAAGAGCTCATCCCACTTGAGTGGCCTTTGGTCTTGCGCCGTGGTAGTGGGATGACTTCCTAGCTAGCTGTGTCCCTGAGCGGGCCTGGTTATGGCGCAGCGAGGGGGCTGAAATGCCACGGCGGGGGATGCAGAAGCTGTAGGTGCTTCTGGAAGAGCTGTTTGACGGGCCCAGCTAACGCCGGAGCGAGGAGCTGCCCAACAAGAGGTACGAGGCTCCGGCGTTTGGGTGGGAATGGGACCGTTAGCGTCTGCTGCCAAGGTACATAAAGCACGGCAAGAGGTCTTAACTCTGAAATTATTGAGCTAATTCGGAAAAATGTAAGCAGTGTTCATGTTTCCCTAATTATTTGTGCTCGTTATAATTCGCCTTCTGCAGTAGCTTTACTTTGGATGCCATGGTAGGTGGCTTTGGTGTACAGGGAAACGTCAGGAACTGCCGGAGCCCAGCACGCCTTTGTAGGGACATCTCATGGGCTCGTTTCCTCTGCTCCGTGGTGCCCATTTGTTATCTTCACGTGTAATGCTGCCGGTACTGGGCGTCTGTTTGGGAGGTTTTGGGGAAATAGGGAGAGAGGGGCTTTTCCAGCTGCCTGCTAATAAAGCAGTCTGCTTGTACTCCTGTGTCAGGCCTGGGAGTCATTTAAAGGATTGTAGGCATCTAGGAGATAGCAGAAACGCGCCGTCCTTCAGCCTGGGTGACAGCTATTTGGAGTCAGTTCACTTGTAAACAGGGAGGCTGCTGTTTGCCTGAAGAATGCAGTTTTTAGAAACAGAGTGAGCTAAGTAGCTCAAATTGGAAAACTTTTTTTTTTTTTTTTTTTTTTTTTTTTTTTGCCAGAAGGGTGGGGAGGAGGGTTTGGAGACCGAGAGCGTGGGGGAAGTGTCCTTCAGAGGAGGCTTCTGAAATACAGCAGAGGTTGTTAACTGCTGGTAGTGTTGGGTTGTCTGTCGAGCTTTTTAGCTGCGGACTGGGAGGTGTGCGGAGGAGGACCTCACCCTGTCCCTGTAGTTCCGGGAACCAACATTGGAGTTGAATGAACACCATCAGGAGATGGCAGCAGCAGGGCTGTGTCTGCACCATTGGCTTGGGATGTCGAGAGCAAGGGAAGCAAACTGCAAACTTTTATAAACTTGGTCCTGATAGTCTTACATGTGGTTATCAGAAAAGGCTTTGGGTTTGGGGGAAATAAAGGTAGAAGCAAAAGAAACCAAGTAAAAAGCTCCTTTTAAACTTTTTTTTTCTTTTTCTGACTAGGTGGTTTAAGTGAGAGGAACAGTAGAACGTGCCATCTAATTTTTTCTAGTAATGTGGAAGAAAATAGGCGAGCTGCAGTGTGCTCTTCTTGCAGCAGAGCTGCAGGGAGATGTAATTCTAATGCTGGTGCTTTGGGAGCAGGAAGATGAAGCTTATGGCAAACTTATCCTGAGATCTGTCCATGGCAAAGGGAGAAGGAATGGGAGTGTCAGAATGGCACACGGCTGCGTGCGACATTGTGGTCCCTGCTCCGGCTAAAAAGTCCCTAAAAAGTCTCAGTGCTTTGCTCTGTGGTATTCACTGCGTCCATCAACTCTGAATGGCCTGTAGTTCTACTTATAAATTAAGATACCAGAAGGTTTTGAATGATTTAGTTTAATTCCAAAACACAAACAGCTTAAGAATACCATTTTTTCCAATGTTCTTTAAAATAATCTGCATGTAAACATTAAGATACGCGTTCCAAAAGTCATCTTGGGAGAACATTTTTCATGTGAATAAAAGTTTGGGAACTGTGAGGCAGGCTGTGTGGCCGTTTGATCAGGAAAAAGGAAGAGATTTGGGATGCTTTTAAAAGGACTTGAGTTTTGTGTGGGGGCAGCTGAACTCCCTTCTCCTCAAGAGGCTTTGATAAAGTTTCTCAAATGACAAACCTTGAATTGCCCGTCGCTTACATATACGGGGTTTTGCATCAAACCCGTCTTGCTTTCATTCCACACAGATATTTTTCTCCTTTAAAATGTTAGAGAGGGCAAAGTGGTAGATTTCAAGTACAGATGTTTCTGGCGTCCTGTAAATGTCTTCTCGTGTTACTGCTTCATGATGGCACCAAAGGAAAGGGGGAGCCCTCATCGCTGCCTACAACTGCCTGAGAGGAGGGGGGAGCCGGGGGGGTCGGGCTCTGCTCCCAGGGAAGGGGCGATGGGACGAGGGGCAGCGGCCTCAAGTTGTGCCAGGGCAGGGTGAGGTTGGCCATGGGGAACAATTCCTTCCTGTGATTCTCTTCTAAGGAAATCCTTCTGAAATAGAGCCATAGTTGGCATTGGAGATCTAGGAATCTGTGTGTCTCCACCACTGCTTAAAAATGGAAACAACAATTTATCGTCCTTTGCAACCTACAGGAAAAATAGCTCCATTAGTTTGAGAGTGTTCGTTTGTGTGAGTTAAATGATTTTTTTTTTTTTCTTAGTGAGTCTGTGGGAGGAAGTTAAAGCTATCCAAGGAAGAATTCCCTTTGAAGGTGGTTCTTAGCATGCAGAGCTCAGTGTTAGTGAAACTCGAATTTTTCTTCTGGAGTGATGAGGTTCCCGTCCACTGCATTGTGTCCCGACAGCTCGTTCTGTCATGGAGGTTCAGCTCATGTGGAAGTTCTTTCTCCCATCACGCCCAGGCTTGTCCTGTTTAGTTGCTTTCAGCGTCACGAGAAGGATGCTGTGCTTGGTTTTGGTCTCTTAAACCTTACTGACATCTTCTCCAGGGGACCTCAGGTGGGGTGAGGAGAAGCTGCACGCGCACTGGTACCTTCCTGCAGCGCGTGCTCGGTACGAGGGCCCATTTGAGTTTTAACTTCACACGCGTGCTAAGTAGGTGGCACGTACAGAGTTCCCGGAGCTGTGATTTTGTTCTAAGATTGTGCTCTTTCTTCCCCATGCAGGCATCTTTGCTTACCTGAACTACCATGTTCCCCGGACACGACGGGAGATCCTGGAGACCCTTATCAAAGGGCTCCAGCGGCTGGAGTACAGAGGCTACGATTCGGCAGGGACCTCTCTCTGAGCCACAGTGGGTTTTTTTTTTTTTTTTTTGATTTTTGGCTTGTAAGTGATGATTTTCCTGCTGTGTTTGTGCATGGTTTCTACTGGCTTCTGCTTTTGAAGAAAGCTGAAACACAAATTGGATGTGCCTGTGATCGTGTGGTCAGAGGTTTGGATTCACTTTCAGTATTCAGATTTCTGTTATCGAAGGTTAAGATATGATATCTGATATCTGTTAAGAATACCCCCAAGATGGCAAAGGGCAAACTCGCTTCTAATCTGAGGGGTTTCTTGCCTTTATTTGGAGGGTCAGCTGGGGGGAGAAAGGGCACTGTAAAAAAAAAAACAAAAAAAAAACAAAAAAACAAACCAACCCAAAACCCCAGCAGCAACCCCCACATAAAACACTGCCCTGTGCTTTCTGCACTTCACACTCGCTCTTGATCTTCCCTGCGTAGGTGTGGGCATCGATGGCGGAAACGACAAAGACTGGGAAGCCAATGCTTGCAAAATCCAGCTTATCAAACAGAAGGGGAAGGTGAAGGCTCTGGATGAAGAGGTTCACAGTATGTATCTCCCTTTTGTTCTTTGCCTGCTCTCTTTCCTTGGAATGTCCTCTCATCCCGTTGGTGTTTGGAATATCATCCGTGTTACCCAGAACCACTGTATTTCCAAATAACTCTGTAAAAACTGCCAGAGATGTAAACACTCACACGTGCGCTCCAAAGAACCCAGTGATCCTGTGGATGTTGTCATGAAGTTACAGGGAAGTCCCGATTTCCCAATAAAATGAATCACGTCCCGTTAAAATCAAATAGACCTGGAATACATTTTAGAAAACAAACTCAAAAAAAAAAAACCCAACCCCCACAAAACTCCTTAAACTGGGCAAAGGGGAATTACTGGGAGATAATTATCAGAGCCCTAGGGCTTGGGCAGAAAGGGAAATGCTGTGATAACCTCACCAGTTGAATTTGAAATTTTCATACGTAAATGCTCGTCCCAACTAAAGCTGCGCGTCCGAGCCGCGATGGGCTACGCAGCTTCAGGAAAGCGCTGCTGTACGCGTGTAACCGCCGGCTCGACGAGAGCCCTGAGGGAGGGAGGTCGCCTGCGTCTGTTTCTGCCTCTCGGCGTTCCCTTGATTTAAATATTAAGTTCATTAAACCTGTGCAGAACGCAGAGACACGCGAGGTCGTTGGGTGTGGAATGCGGGTGAGCTGCGTGAGAGGGGGAGGACGCGTTCCGGAGGAGCCACGATCTCTAGTTTGCGTTTGGGAGCCGCCGTGTTGCTGTAACTTCACTTTTTATGACCCGTGCTAGCGTTAACCCCGCGGGGCGGAGTGCTGCCTATCCCAAGGGAAGGGGGTGGATCCGATCTTGGCGTTACAGAACCCAGGAGCTGGGAAGGCTGGGCGAGGTGGGGTGCGCATTGCAGAAACAGAAGATACAGAAAAGATTTCTGAAGAAATTCTTGCCTGCTCAAGGCAATTGCGGGATACGCAGTTCTCGGGTGATTTGCAGATGCTTGTAGAACAAAAGGAATTTTTTTTTTTTTTTTTTTTTTTTTTTTCCCCCCCCAAAGAAACATTAATGTTAGCGGTAGTCTTTCTAGAGCCAAGGGCTGGCGTCGAATATTCTAACCACGGTGGTATGTAACCGTGAAGTGGGCTGGTTCAGTCACAGCCAATGGCAACAGGAGGGCAAGGTGTGCCCCAGAGAGGGAAATTAGGGAGGGGTTCTTTCTGAAAAGTTGGGGTTTGTTTTGGCAGGGTGAGGAACGCAGGGGGGTTGCTCGTGTACATCCGTGTTCTGAATCCCCTGAAAACACCCTTGATGTGTTGTTGGGTTTGCTGATTGTTTCCCTGTCAGCAGCGCTGTCCCGGGGACCCCGGGTGGCCCACAGAGACTCCCACGTTGACCTTTGGGGTAGGGACAGCCCCTCACTACTAAAAACATCTCCTCTTGCTGCAGAGCAACAGGACATGGACCTGGACATCGAGTTTGACGTGCACCTTGGAATCGCCCATACCCGCTGGGCTACCCACGGCGAGCCCAGCCCCGTCAACAGCCACCCGCAGCGCTCGGATAAGAACAACGGTGAGTGCGTTGGCCCGAGGAACTGGGGCTGTGAAGCCGGGGGGGTTTGGGCTCGATTTCTGGCCGTGGGCCGTGTTTGTGGCAGTGCAGGGTCTGGGGAAGAGTTGGGATTGGTGCCCAGAGGGTTGGGCACAGTGCAAAGGGGAGGTAAACATGGAATGCAATCGGATGGTAAGAATTTTCCTGGCTATTCTCTGGGATGCAATTCTGTATACTTTTATTTTCCCATTTATTTATGGTTTTTTTGTAACCGCCATGGTACGGAAGGGGGTTGGCCCGCTCAGCGCTGCTGCAGCGTGCAGCTTGGTTGGTGTTTGGCAGAGCCGCCCGAGGAGCTGCACCGACAGGCTGGCAGGGGCAGGGCGGGGTTTAATTGCTTCCAGCAGTCTGGAAGCCGCCGAGCGCTGAAAGCTCCTCCAGGATCTCAGTGGCCCGGGTCCCACCCGGGTCATCGTTATCTCCTGCCGCTGCCAGCTGGGGCGGGCGGCGCAGAGCAGTCGCAGCAGGAGGTGACGCGCTGGCACGCTCCTCTTTACGCTGCCGAGCGCGGCTTTTCGCACCGCAAAGTTTTGTGGTCTCTGCTGTCTGCGTTACGTGGCGCCCGCTGCCAGGCCAGGGGCCGCCGTGGGGCTGAGCGGGGCCTCTCCTCTGCCTCCAGAGTTCATCGTCATCCACAATGGCATCATCACCAACTACAAAGACCTGCGCAAGTTCCTGGTGAGTAACCCCACGCCGGTGTGTGTGTGTCACACTCACTCCCCTGCTCACACTCCCCTGCTCGTCCCACTCCTCCCCTCACACTCGGTTTCTCACACTCCCCCACTCATATTCCCGCCTGCACTCGCTCCCCCTCACACTCACTCTCCTCCGTTCGTGTTCCCCAACTTGTTTGCACTCACTCTCCCTCGTTTGCACGCTCGCACTCGCTCTCCTACTCACGTTCTCACACTTCCACCCCCCATTCCCTCCCTGCTTCATCCACACGCTCCCAACTTGCACCCCCTCACACCTCCGCTCGCCCTCACCTTCCCGCTCGCCCTCCTCTGTTCGCCCCCGCTCATTCTTCACGCTCCCTCACTCATACTCTCACGCTCACCCCCCTCACACTCCCCCCTCCATCCACACTCCCCCACTCTTACTCTCCCACTCGTGCTCCCCACTTAAACTCCCACCCCCACACTCTCCCACTCCTCCACTTGACCCCACTCACACTCACGCCCCTCCACTCGCTGCCCCACTCACATTCACACACTCACTCTATTCGCTCCCCCCACTCACGCCCCCATTATTCCACTCTCCCTTTCCCTCCTCCACTCACTCCCATCCACTCCCACTCCTCCTCACTCCCCCGCTACCCCATTCCCCCACTCATTCTCACACTCACTCCTTTACTCGCGCCCCCGCTCACACCCTTCACTCTCCCCACTCCCTGCCTTGTTCCCCCACTCGTATTCTTGCACTCCCACCCCTCACTCCCACTCAGTTCACCCCTCGCTCCCCCGTCCCCCCACTCACAGTCCTCTCCCACTCACCGCACTCCTTAGCTCACACCCTCCACTGCCCCCTCGCCAC